TCTCCTATATAGTATCTTTTTTTCTGTTAAAACTTAACAGTAATTTACTAAAATAATCTAATATTAAATCTGTAATTATTCCCATTGTCCCCAAGATGCTAAGATGTTTTTATAGTTCTATATATTTGAATCAAGATCCAATCAGGCTTCAGGTAATGCATAGTTATGACTTTATAGTTTATTTTCATCTAGAAAAGTGCCTCATTCCACCCCTGTCCCATGATATTGACTTGTTGAAAACTCCCAGCCAGTATTGTAAAATGTCCCATGTTGTGGATTATCTGATATATTTTTCTTAAGACTCACTGAATTTATTTTCATCTATTTAGAAAGTTAGATCTAAAGGTTTGATTACATTCAGATTAAACATTTTTGGCAACACTGCTTCATTGCTGACCCTGTGAACTTCATATTACATTTTACCAAGGGACGTCTCACCATTAATCATGCTGCTTGCATTTCATTAAGGTGGAGATTGCAAGCTGCATGTAGGTATGAAATTTACTTCTAACTGATGTGGATAGAGAAAAGGGGAAGGTCAACTGAAAGATTTGTTGACTTTCAAATATTTATTTCTTCACCACAAGAGTTAATATTTCTTATAAGATCCCTCTAAGAATCTTAGCGTCTAAGATGAAGAGATCATAAAAAACATTAAGAAGTTGAAGTCATTATGTTTACTTTATAAACACATTTCAATTTTTGATAGTATGTATGACCTCTCTGCTGTGAATGGTGAGGACTCTTGCCTATTTCTTCCCCCTTCCTCCCCCTTCATAACTTCTTTTATAATGTAGCAGCCTGTTCTGTAATTATAATCCCACAGTTGTTTGAACCTGTCCTGTGTTTAGACAGACACAGTAATCAGTAACAGCCCTTTACTACAGTGTCTCCATTCCAGAATTCATTATTTTGATTTGACTCCTAATTGGCAGATTCCATTGTCAGGTGGTTTTTTTATGGAGCGTTCGTGGCTTCTGTATTGATTGTGTTGGGCATACTTCACAGATTTTTCTGTAATAAGTGTGCCTTTAGATCTGAAGATTCAGTTTGTTTATTTTCCTCATGTCATGGAAATGAATCTGTCCTTTATCTTTAAATCATTTCCTCTTTTTATTGAGTTCTTCACATCAACCTTAGCAATTAGCCCTGCATGGGGCGTTGCTCTGTCTTCCATATCTGTTTATCTTTGAGTTTGTCTTGTCCTCTGCATTCACCCCAATTACCTCCAGTGTTGGTAATTCAGTTTCAGCAGGGCCCACTGAGTTCTGTGTCGTTTCTAAATGACTCACGTGGCAGGTGTGCTGGTTTGGTCCTCAGTTTACTTCCATAGATCTGTACACTTCCTCTTCATCTCATTTGACCCTTTTATCCTCTCAATTTTGAACTCCTGGATTGTTGACATCATCGTCTTATATTAAGGTGTTCTGTAGCCAGAAGCAGTTAGGAAGAGTTCCTTCTCTCAGTGTATCACATTTTCTTCTAGTCTGGGCTCTTTGTCTCCCTCTGTAAGCCTTTTGTTGTTGTTTACTGTTTGTTTATATTGTCTTACTGTTTTGTTCGATGTCCCAGGTTGTATTCTCTGGGAAGCACTCTGAGACATGGGAAGGATTTGAGGAGCACTCGGGATTTCTCCAGCAGTGGTGTGTTGGGGGTGGGGCTGGAGAGGGAAGCAGGTTAGACGGAGGGAGAGGTTGGGCTGTGCTGCGCTCCCAACAAAGCCTGATCCCCAAGCCTCTGACAGTTGTTGCCTCCCTACCCCTGCATAGCCCAGCAGCTGGAACGAGGTTGCCTCCAGGGAGGGAGTGTGCTATGGCAGCTTCCTTCAGCGGAGGGTGCACTTGGGCAGCTGGGGAGTGAGCGTTTCAGTCCGGAAGGGGGTATCTGACTGGCACAACTCAGCATCGAGCCACTAGAGTTAATTTTATTCTCACAGTGGTACTGTCCAGACATCTATTCTGACTTTTCATTCTCTTCTTACCTGTCTGAAATAGGTGTGTTTCCTTCTGACAGGCAGATCGAGGGCTGAGGTGTTTTTTTTAAATACCCCCCCCCCCTTTTTAGTCGCCTGAGAGAATGACTGGGAGCCAGTGAAGAGCTGGACAGTAAGTGAGCCCAGGGAGGCGGTAAGCATGGTGTGAGCTGGGGGCAGGGTTCTGTATCCACATTATCCTGTGCCATTTGTGGAAAAAACATCTTTTGCCATTGCTCTGCACTGTCATTTTTGTCACGAATCAGGTATCTGTATGTGTGTCTCTCCTAATCTCTGTTTTCTTCCATTGTCCTATTGGACTGCCACTGTCAAATAGCACACTGTCTCGTTGCTTATAAGCTTACAATGAATGGTGCTGACATCCAGTAGAGTCATTTATTTCTCTGACTTTGTTCTTCTTTAAGATTAATTTAGCCCTGGCCGGTTTGGCTCAGCGGTTAGAGCGTCGGCCTGTGGTCCGGAGAGGCCCGGGTTCGGTTCCCGCTAAGGGCATGTACCTCGGTTGCAGTTTGTCCCCGGCCCTGGTTGGTTGTGCGGGTGGCAGCCACTCGATGTGTCCCTTTCACATCGATGTTTCCCTCTCTCTCTCTTCCTCTCTCTCCCTCCTACTCTATCTGTACAAAAAATGGAAAAATGTCCTCGGATGAGGATTAAAAAAAAAAAAAAAAAAAAAAAAAAAAAAAAGATTAATTTAGATAATTTTTGCTTATTGCCTTTCTATTCAGTTTTAGGATCTGCTTGGGAGTTTCCACGGAGTACCTGCTGATGTTTTCACAGAGATTGCATTGATTTTATAGCTCAGTTTGAGTACAGTGGACCTCGCTACAATATTGGGTTCCCAACCCATGAACTTTATTTAGGGCTTCTTTAATTTTTAATTACTGACTTACAGTTGTCTATGTAGAGGTGTTTCTTGGCAATCTTTTATTCGATTTGTACCTGGGTATTATTAAAAAACTAAAACAAAACCCAAACGATATAATGAATTACCTTGTAGCCGTCACCCAGTTTCAGTGACTTGATTGCATTTATATACCTCCTTCACTCAACCCCACCATTTCCCCCAGATTATTTGGAAGCAAATGCCATTATAGGTATTTCAGTATGTATTTCTAAAAGATGAGGACTCTTCTTTTTTTTTATCCTGACCTGAGGACATTTTTGCATTTATCTCCAGATCAGGAGAGAAGGGGGAAGAGAGAGAAACATCGAGGTGAGAGAGACACACCAAGTGGTTGCCACTCACACGACCCCAACCGGCGGGGGACAAACTGCAACTGAGATAGGTGCCCTTAGCGGACCGAACTGGGGACTCTAACCACTGAGCCAAACGGGCCAGGCAGGACTCTTGTTTTTTTAAAAAATAAACATCAATTTGGCTTAGCGGATGAAGCGTCAGCCTAGGCAGAGAGTCCCAGGTTCGGTTCCGCTAGGGGCACGTACCAAAATAAATAAAATAAATAAACAAACAAACAAACATCACCCAGAGCAAGGAGGTGATGATGTGTCTCCGGCCTTGAAGCTGCCTTGGAGCCTGGGGACTGCCCGCCAGACCTGCCTCCGGCCACGGGAGGCCCCTGTGCGGCACGCGGGCCTCTTAGCAGCTCAGACACCAGGAGATGTGCGGAGCTCCAGCAACCGGCGCTGCCGAACTGCGTTCAAGCACCAAGAACAGGGCCGAGCTGGACGGGGAGACCTGGAGGTGGGCCAGGTGATCCAGCAGGGCCCGCAGAGCAAGGGACTGAGGCAGAAGAACCTGGCGACAAAATCAATGAAAGCCACAGGTCATCCTCGGCTACCAGAGTGGATTGATCATTCCTAATAACCAGGTTCTGGGCAGAATTGGGAGAGGCTCGGCCTCAAGCCCTGGGGGAAGGACACTGGGACGCCAATCGAGTAGGGGCCAAGGGCAGAATGGACACAAGCAGTGCTGGGTTAGTGGTTGGCTGCCCTTGACCGCCAGCGCGCGGCGTGGATGTCTTCCCGTGGCCGAGCGGAACTCGGGGTGTCAGCCCTGCCCCGGAGCGCCCTCCATCCAAACCTGCTCTCAAACAAAACCTTGCAAAGTGTTTGCTTCGGCTGATTGTTTTTCCTCCCTACCCTCATCCTGAAATTGGGGTGCTAAATGCCGCTGTTCTCTCCCACACCTGTGGGTGTGGCTCCTGGGGGACCTGCGTGGGATGGGAACCCCACACGCGGGCGGGTCCAATTCAGGACCCAGAAGGTGCCGCCTTAAAAGTCTGCTGCCCTGAAAACAAAACCAAACGAAACAAACCACCACCCCATATCATTTTATACCTGAACATGTAAAAATAATTTCTTGCATCATAAAATATCCAGTTAGTGTTAGTTGGTGTTTTTTGGTGCCAGTGTAAATGATGTCTTTAAATTTTCATTTTCTTGCTGGCTGGTATGGCTCAGTGGTTAAGCATAGACCCAGGCACCAAGAGATCACCGTGTTGGATTCCCGGTCAGGGCACAAGCCCAGGTTGTGGGCCAAATCCCCAGTGGAGGGCATGCAGGAGGCGGCCAGTCGATGTTCTCTCTCATCGATGTTTCCATCTGTCTCTGTCTCTCCTGTCTTCTCTCTCTAAAAATCAATCAATAATAAATAAGTAAATAAATTTTCATTTTCTTTGTGTCTTTCTGGTAGTATATGGATATTTTTATAAGTCTTGTATCCAGTAAACTTGCTAAAGTTATTCATTAATTTGAATAATTTATCCCCAGATTATTTTGGCTTCCTATATACATGGTAGTGTTGCTTGTTAATCTAATGACAGTCGACCTCAAGGGGTAATACAGTTTGCCAGGTTTAGCAATCATTGGTTTAAAAAATGAAAGAAAACAGCAGATGGAAAGTGAACAAATTTGATGTTAAGGTTTCATCATCTAAGATGGAAAAAAAGTTGAAGACATTTTTAATAATTCTAGTCACTCTATTATTGACTGTCTTCAAATTTGTATAAGTTGCTAAAATCATTTGTTATTCTGTTTTTTTTTGTAGTTTCCCATCACCAATTGTTCTTGGAATTGGACAGGTAAGTGAAAAAAGTTAATCTCTTAATTAGTCAATGCACATGATAGTAAGTGCTTTTTAAAAGGACTTTGGTTTGCAAATTTAAGAATTTGGTTTACAAATTTATTCATCTAATACTGTACTCTTGGTGAAACAATATGAAATAACATTTCATTCTACAGTTTAGGAACAGTGTATTTGTAGGAAAAGCAAGTACTGATTTTAATTTTCTTACTTTCCTTTTTTTGTTAATACTCACCTAAGGATATTTTTTCTTTGATTTTTAGAGAGTGGATTTTTTAGAGAGAGAGAGAGAAACATCTATGGGAGAGACACATTGATTAGCTGCCTCCTGCATGACCATGGGGATCAAACCTGCAACCCAGGTACATGCCCTTGCCCTGAATCAAACATGAGACCCTTCAGTCCATAGTTTGACACTCTAACCACCGAGCAACACCAGCCAGGGCTGGTTTTAATTTTCTTAATGGAATTTAATTACTTTAAACTCCCTCCCCCTTTATTGATTTTAGAGAGAGAGGAAGGGAGAGGGAGAGGGAGATAGAAACATTGGTGAGAGAGAACATCAGTTGGCCGCCTCCTGCATGCCCCCTACTGGGGATTGAGCCCACAACCTGGGCACGTGCCCTGATCAGGAATTGAACTGGCGACCTCTTGGTGCACAGGTCAAAGCTCAACCACTGTGCCACACCAGCTGGGCTGGAATTTAATTACTTTAAAACTAGGAGTCAGAAGACCAAAGCCTCCAAGGAATGGGTTGAGGGCTGGGTGGGGTCAGGGAGCACAGTTGCCCCTTTGAGGGGTGCACTAGCTACCTTGGTTAAGCCACTGTACTAGAGAGAGAAAGGGTGGGGGAGATGAGGTGGGGCCCACTAGGCCCATATTATCAGAATTCCAGAGTTTTTTCAAGAGAAGCAGGGAATTTGAATTTTTACATCAGATCTTCCAATTTGTAAATGCTGGCAATGGATTCCAGTTTTTACAAAACTCTCCATGGACCAAATAGAACATGTTTGCTTCCTGTGGTTTGTGATTTTTGTTTTAGGTATAAAGTTGAGGTTAGAAAAGCTTTCAGACTAACCTGTTTGGCTTTTTCTGAAATTTCCCATTTATAATTATCTGTGGCTTATTTATTCTTTTGGTCAGATGCTGAGGATTTCCAGTAGACTAGTGGTAACAGGCATCAGAGATTTTTTTTTTTTGTCTTGGTTTGCCTTAATGTATAGGGAGAAAAAAATTAAAATTACAGAAATTATATCTGTTAACTAAATGTCTAATTGTGGATCTGGAAAAACTGTTGTTTATATTATTAAACATTGTTCTGGTTATATGTTTTGTTAATAAGGTACTCTTTGCAACATCATGTTAGGGAGAAAAAAATAGCAAGGAAATTATATTTCCTTAAGGTAAAAAAATATGCTATCTTAATGTTTCCATGTGAAAATGTGTAGAAAAAAGCATTTTAAAAGATTAGTGAATATGTGTTAATGTGTGCTTTGTAATCCTTGAGCCAAATTAAGCCACTGGCTGTACTCAGTTCAAAGTCTTTTCGACTTTTAATTTGTTGGGGGAAGAGGCCAGCAGACCTAATTTTAAAAGTCTGAATTACAGAATATTTTAAATAAGTATTTGTATATTTCTTAAGAATTATAAAGAAAGTCATAAATGCAAACCACAATTATAATTCATCATGGGTTCCAGTTATATAAATCTATCATAAGTATTAAGTTTGTAAATGTATTAGCATCAAGGTTTAGAATTATAATCATGTTGAAGGAGTCTTTAATTTTTTTGCATCCTAATATGGATAAAATTCAGTAAATTCTAGAATTTGCATAGAAAGATATTAAAATTATATATTTCATAAATAATCCGGAGTATTTTATTAATGTACCTGGTGTGTTCCCGGTTAATAGGATTTGAATGAGACATTTTTACAATACTGGAGAGATTGGAGAGAGAAATAAATCTCCTTTAAAATTTGTTTTTCTCGCCCAGGCCGGTTTGGCTCAGCGGTTAGAGCTTCGGCCTGCGGTCCTGAGAGACCCGGGTTCGGTTCCCGCTAAGGGCGCGAACCTTGGTTGCAGTTTGTCCCCGGCCCTGGTCGGTTGTGCGGGTGGCAGCCACTCGATGTGTTCCTTTCACATCGATGTTTCTCTCTCTCTCTCTGTTCCTCTCTCTCCCTCCCACTCTACCTAAACAAAAAATGGAAAAATGTCCTCGGGTGAGGATAAAAAAAAAAAAAAAATTGTTTTTCTCTTAATTTGCCTCTTGCGTTATAGAAATATTGGACTTTACAAAAAAGCATGTTTCTGTGTGGAGTTTGCCCCCCTAACCCAACCTCACACTCACTTTATGGGGGAAGGTGACCACATGCTTAATATATGGAAAGTTTGGTCCAGGATAGAGTGTCCTCACTGACTGTGGTCACTCTGGTCAGTTTTGGGGACACTGTTCCTTTTCCCCCTTTGTCACCATTCCTTAAGCCCCTTGAGATAATGTGTGTATGTGTGAGTCTGTTTGATGTTATACATTTTTGCCTGTAGGAATCCATATAGTGGCAAGGATAGCAATTTTAATATTATAAAAAATAGTTAATTATTTTGGAATCTAGAAAATACATTTCTTGGATATATATTTTTTTGATGAATCTGTTTTCTTCTGATATGTTTGTACCTCAAAACAGTCCAGATGTTTTGCTGAAGTTTCTCCCTCCCCCCCTTTTTTAGATGGCAGCTACCATAATGATACTGTATGTGTCCAAGCTAAATAAAATAATTCACTTCCCTGATTTTGACAAGAACATTCCTGTAAAGGTATGTGATAAAAAGTACATATAGCTGTGATGGTAGATGTGAAAATATTCCAGAATTATAAGTTGATCTTAGAGTACAGGTCCATTTCTGTATACACTGTGCTTCCTGCTTGCACTAGGTAGAAACTTCTTAAGATTTTGTATCGTTCAGTTGTCCATTATTGTAACATAATACTAGTAAAAGTATGTGCTTAGCAATTGACATTCAGTAAATACTCTGTCTTCTGAAATGGTATCAGGGATGGCAAACTTTTTTTTTTCAATCCTCACCCAAGGATATACTTTTTAATTTTAGAGGGAGAAGAAGGGGGCGGGGGAGACATACAGACAGACAGGCATTGATGTGAGAGAGAACATCAACTGGTTGCCTTCTGTAGGTGCTCCGACCAGTGATGGAACCTGCAACCTAGATACAGTATGTGCCTGCAACCTTTCTGTATATGGGACAATGCTCTAACCAACTGAGCCACACCAGCCAGGGCTGGGAAACATTTCTGATAAAGGACCAGATAATAAATACTTAGGCTTTGTGGGCCAGACCATCTCTCTTGCTCTATTCAGCTCTGCCATTGTGCCATGAAAGCAGTTGTAGATGATATATAAATGAACCGGTGTGGTTGTGTTCTAATAAAACTTTATTTTAATAAATAAGGGATGGGCAGATTTGGCTTTGGGCCCTAGTTCATTGATCCCTGGTTTAAATGTTCAATTTTAGCTTGGATTGACGAAAGCTATGAGTGGAATTAAGAACACAATTTGATATGCATAGAAATAACCAGTTTTGTCCATGGTGGAACTAGAAACCTGAGACCTGCTATCTCTTTCTGGGAATGTGGAATGAAACTAACTTCACATTTCTGTACAAATATTAGAAGCAGCTTGTCCAGCTTCAGAAAAATAAACTTTTGGGATTTTGATTGGCTTGCATAGAAGCTACATGTCAATTTGGGATGCACTGACATTTTTAAAGTATTGAATCTTTCTATCCACGAAATATATATATATATAGATATATCTATATCTATATGTTTATATATATAGATATATCCTCTTTAATTGCCCTTGCTAAGTGAAATAAGCCAATCGGAGAAAGACAAATATCATATGATCTCACTTATTTGTGGAATAGAATGAACACAATAAGCTGATGAACAAAATAGACCCAGAGACATAGAAGTAGGAATCAGACTGACAAACCTCAGAGGAGGGAGGGAGAGGAGGGCAGGAAGAGATAAAACAAAGAACTTATTTGCATATATGCATAACCAATGGACACAGACAACAATACTGTGAAAAGGGGTTGGGGATGGGAGCAAGGAGGAGGGTGTCAATGGGGAAAAAGGAGACACACCTATAACAAAAATAAGTTAATTTAAAAAACAGAAAATGTAATAATTTTCTTTGTAGAGTTCTAATGTTTATGTTAGATTTATTCTGAGGTACTTCTTTATTTTTGTTATTGAACATATCTCTTAAAAAAGATTATTTGGAAAATGAGAGGGCATATTTTTATATTGCTTTTGTATCTGCAGAACTGTGGACTATTAGCCATAATTTATTTATAGTTTCTTTTGGTTTCTACATTCACAATCAGGTAGTCTGCAAAAAGTGACAATTTTGTTTCTCAGAGGGAAAAAATATTTGATCTCAGAGGGAAAGTTTTTAACAATTCACCATTAACTATGTTGTTTGCTGTTTTGTGTGTGTGTGTGTGTGTGTGTGTGTAGGCTTTTTATCTGTGTTATCTTTTGCTGTGTAACTTAACTTAATGACTCAGAACAATGATCATTGAATTGTTTCTCCCAGTTACTGTGGTTAAGACATTCAGGGAGGTCTGAGCTGGGCAGTTCTGGCGTAGGGCTCCCACAGAATGGCAGGCAGATGATGGCAGCGATGGGGGTGGGGCCGGCTAGTGCAACTGGGGCTGGTTACGTGTCTCTCTCTTCCTATAAGCTCAGGCTTCTCCATGTGGTCACCCATGTAGGCTGGGATGGGCTTCCTTACCGAAGGGCAGGCCCAGGTGAGTCGTGATGGTTACATGCTGGCTGAAGTCTTCCAGGGCGAGAGTGTTCCAGCAAGCAGGGCCCAAGCTGCGCCGGCTTGTATGATGTAGCTTGTTGCATTTATACATTACTTTTTTATTCTCACCCAAATTTATCTTCAGATAAAGTGGGAGGGAGAGAGGGAGGAAGACAGAGAGGAATGTTGATGTGAAGGAGACACATCCAGTGGTTGCCACCCACACGACCCAACAGTGGCCGGGGACAAACTGCAACCGAGGTACATGCTCTTAGTGGGAACCAAACCCGGGTCTCTCTGGTCTGCGGGCCGACGCTCTAACCACTGAGCCAAACCGACCAGGGCTATACATTATTAGTTAAAACAGTCCCATCCAATTTTAAGAGGAAGGGATGTAGACCCTACCTCTGGATGGAAGTGTCAAAGTTATATTTTAAAAGCAGGAATGGGAGACACTGTTGCAGCCTTCATCTCTGACAGTGGGTTTGTCTGTTGCTCTGGGTATTGCCCTCAGGTTTTTTGTTTTATTTCACTTATTTTGAGGCTGTATCATTAGGAGTCTAAAAAGTTAACTAGTTAAATCTTTCCCCTGGTGAAGTCTAGTGTGTGATTATACTAGAGGACCTCTTCTGTGTCAGTTCTTTTAGTAGTTCCCTGTAATTGACGAAGGCATACCCATCTTATCATGTTCTAAAGTTGACTAATAAATGTCCCCTCCCCTGTAACAGTCAGGCCGGACTTTCAGCCACTTATCTGTCTTTACCATTCAGGTGCTTTTGTCAGCAGATGCTTTAATATGTACTCTGTCTTTATTTAAATTTTACAATGCATTTTCTTTTCTTTTTTAAAAACGATCCATGTTTATTCATATTTACCTATGAATTTACTGCTTCCTTTGCTTTTCTTTTCTGTTTTTATCTCACACTTCACATTTCCTGCTGATTGAAGTACCTCCTTTCGAATTTACTGATGGTCTGCTGGTGGTGAAGTCCCGTAGTTTTCGTTTTTCTGGAAAAGCCTAAATTATTCCTTTGTTTTTTTTTTTTTTGAAAGGTATTCTGGTTGGTAGGATTCCAGTTGGGCAGAATTGTGCAGATGAAATTCTGCTGTCCTCTGGCTTCAGCTATTTCTCTCCGGGTTTCTGTGCTCCCTTCAGCTTTGTCCTGAGAATTCTTATTTTTCTCATTTTTTAGTGCTTTTATAAAGGCTTTTAAGTTATTTTATCTAGCAGCAGGATTAGAATAAATAATCTAGCCCACTGTTACCAGAAACTATAAGTCAGTATTGTTTTTATTTTGAATTATTTACGGAAATGAAGGCAACTGATTTTTTTCAATGCCTAAAACCTTGGAGGTTGTTCCATCAGCAGCTGTTCCTGTGGAGTCAGTGAAGGGAGGGGCCTGGATGTATTAGCTTCTCCTCCTGGGATCTTCTTTCTTGTGCAAGTCTTGGGGCACATGACGCTTAATATTTCAGAACTCTTCAAAGGTATCTTATCTGAGTTACAAGCCTGAGATTTTTTTAATGGAAAAAGAAATGTTGGACTCACCTTGATTGCTGTGGACTATTATGTCAGTTAAAAAGTTCTTAAAAGTTGTCCTGGCCGGTTTGGCTCAGCACTTAGAGTGTTGGCCTGAGGACCGAAGAGTCTCGGGTTCGACTCCGGTCAAGGACACGTACCTCGGTTGTGGTTCGGTCCCTGCCTCCGGCCCTGATCGGGGTCATGCGAGAGGCAAACAGTGGATGCGTCTCTCTCACATCAGTGTTTCTTTCTCCCTCACACTCTATCTGAAGATAAATGGAAAAATATCCTTGGGTAAGGATATTAAAAAAAAAAAAAGTTCTTGAAAGTTATCGTATGTTCTTATGAAAGGATATATATTTATTTCACTTAAAGAAAACTAGGTCTTGTCCGGCTGGTGTGGCTCAGTGGTTGAGTGTCGACCCATGCACCAAGAGATCGCCAGTTTGATTCCCGGTCAGGGCACATGCCCAGGTCGTGGGCCCGATCCCCAGTGGGGGGCATGCAGGAGGCGGCCAGTCTTTGTTCTCTCTCATCGATGTTTCTCTCTCTCTTCCTCTCCCTCCCTCTCTCTCTAAAATCAATAGGGGGAAAAATTTTTTTTTTTAAAGGAAGACTAGGTCTTAATTTTGTTTCTTCAGTATGTTCTGACAATATATCTCGACAATCAGAAAATAGTTCAGGAGCTCGGAGCTCAGTAAACCTAATTAAGTACAGGGTGCGTTGTTTGACTTAGGGAGATCATTATTTTGGGCTTTAAAACAAAGTAACTACAAAGTAATATGGTTGGTATACACATCTTTTTGAAGAGGTCACCAATCTTATGACATACCAGTGAGAGATATAAACCAACTTTGCCTCTGTCCAGAAGAGTGCATCTGCACACAGATAATAGTAGTTTGCACACCTTTTCACGGCCTTTATGCATAAACGCCCATCCTTAACTCTCCAACCAGGGTCTCTACTCAAGAGAGGTCCTTGTCTAGAACCTTCCTATAGGAACATAGTCTTTTAATATGGGCAAGGACAAGATTTTTGTTTCTGTCTAGCTCCCCCATGATTATGGATATCACTGCCCACCTATTTCGATCACATGGAGAAACTTGTTTTGGATTCTGGAAAATTCACATTCATTGCAGGAAAAGAAATTCAAACGTGTTTGCTTATTGCTGGGGAGTGAATGTCACCATTTTGATATTGAAGGAAAATAGTTATTGGAGTTCTAACCAGACATTTTTTTTTTTATTGAAGCTGTTCCCCCTGCCTCTCCTCTATGTTGGAAACCACATTAGCGGATTATCAAGCACAGGCAAATTAAGGTGAGTCCGGGGTCGTGTTGATGGGATGGTTCTCACTTGTGTGCTTCTAATGGTACAAAGACCAAGTTTGATTTTTCAAGATACTGCTTGCACTGCATGTAGAACACAATAATATTTAATAATTTCAGAAAATAAGGTAGAGTTTTGAGTTTAATTTGTTAATGCTTTTAGAAAAGCTGATTGTGTGTATGTGTGTGTGTGTGTGTGTGTGTTCAAGTCTGAACATAGAAGGTGAGATCTCTAGAATCAAGATACAGAGCGATGATTTATTCAGGAAGGAACCATTTATATGAATATGGTTCTGTGTAACTTTTGATTTCATCACAGTTTTATAAAAGCAGAAACATTCTGTCAGATTTGGTACAGGGAGAAAGAACTAACAGACATTATGTTCAAGTGTGCTATATACTTCTAAAATTTGCATTTACACTTATTTTAGGGTCCTTTGATTGACTACTTTTGTTAAAAGTCACTGTAAAAAATGAAAATGAAGTGTAGAAAGGCCCAGCCATCCTATAAATCAGGAAACATGGTGTGAAATATGTAGCTTAATGAACACCCATCATTGTCACTGATCTTGTGACGAAGGTAAATAATGAGAAAATGAAGGGTAAGGAAAATGGAGGAAAACCTGCTCATATGGTGAGTGGAAAAGAGGCAGGTGGGAGGTAGACCAGAAGGACACATAAAACGGAGACTTGTGAAAACGAGCCTGTTACCTTTCACTCTTGTTTGGAAGGGACAGGTGTGGTTATGACAAACAAAATGTGAAATACTGTTTTGAGGTATACATTTTTGTTGAGTTGTTATTTCCTTCTCAGATCAGGGCAGTCACTTTCCCTTAATTACCCCACGATTGTTTTCACACTTCCTGTGATGGATATCACTGCGGTGTTACCATGTGTCCTCTTTGTCTTTCTGTGAGCTCCCCTGCAGCTCTGGGGGTGCCCTCCATTAACAGTGACAGCTGCCCATCTCTCACACTGGGGGGCTCTGCCTCCCAGATGAGGTCTTTTGTGTGTGTGTGTGATCTTATTGGAAACATCTTTTTTTATTTTAAAAAAAAGTTTTTTTCTTTATTGATTTTAGAGAGACAGGAAGGGAGAGGGAGAGAGAGAGAGAAACATCGATGAGAAAGAACATCGATTGGCTGCCTCCTGCATGCCCCTCACTGTGGATTGGGCCCACAACCTGGGCTTGTGTCCTGACCAGGAATCAAACCATTGACCTCTTGGTGCATGGGTCAGTGCACAACCACTGAGCCACCCCGGCTGGGTGGAAACATCTTTTTTTTTTTTTTAAATTAAATTTGTTGGGGTAACATTGGTTAAAAACATGATATAAATTTCACTTGTACAACTTTATATATAACATGTATATACTCTATTGTATGATCACCACCTGACGTCTAGTTTCCTTTTGTCACCATTTGTATTTGACCCTCTTACCCTCTGTGTCTTCCCTGCAGCCCCCTTCCCCTCTGCTAACCACCTTCTGTTGTCTGTATCTATGAGGTCTTTGTTTTGTTTCTTTATTTGTTGCTTTGTTGTTTTATATTGCATATATGAGTGAAACCATTTGATTCTTGTCCTTTTCCATCTGACTTATTTTACTTACAATCTCTTCATGTAGTTGCAAATGGCAGTATTTTATCTTTTTAAAAAATAACTGAATATTATTTTATTTTACTACATCTTCTTCATCCAGTCATCTGTCAGAGGACATTTAGATTGTATTCATGTCTTGACTATTGCAGAGAATGCTGCAGTAAACATAGGGGTATAACAATGGAGTACTATTAAGCTGTAAGAAAGAAAGATCTCGTATCCTTTGAAACGACATGGAGGGACCTGGAGAGTATTATGCTAAGCAAAACAAGCCAAGCAGAGAAAGACAAATACCACATGATCTCACTTGTTTGTGGAATATAATGAACATAACAGTCTGAGGAACAGAGTAAACCCAGAGACGTGGAAGTAGGGTACAGACTGACAACCCTCAGAAGAGCAGGGGTGGGGAGGAGAGATAAACCACAGAACTTATATGCATGTACGCATAACCAATGGACATGGACAACAAAGCTGGGTCGGGGTGGGGGGATGGGGAGGAGGGTGTCAATGGAGAAAAAAGGAGAAACATCTGTAACAAAAATAAATCAATAACAAAAAAAACCCAAAAACGGGTATATGTATTTTTATGAATAAGTGTTTTCAATTTTGGGAGGTAGATACTCAGAAGAGGGATTATTGGGTTGTATAGTAGCTCTATTTTTAATTTTTTTGAGGAACCTCCATACTGCACCAATTGACATTCCCACCAGCATGAAAGAGTGTCTTTTCAACCAAAGATGCTCAAACAACTGGGTATTTATGCATAAAAAACCAAATCTAGACACGGGCCTTTCACCTTTCACAAAAATTAACTTCAAAATGATCATACACCTACATGTGAAATGTAAACCATAAAACTTCTGGGAGGAAACTTAGGAGAAAATCTAAATGATTTTGGATTTGGCAATGAGTTTCTAGATACAACACCAAAGGCACAGTCCATGAAAGGAAAAAATGAAAGCAGAACTTCATTAAAATCTAAAGCATCTGTTCCGAAAGACAGTGTTCAGAGAATGACGAGCCGTAGACTGAGAGAAAATATTTGCAAATACCTGTCTGATAAAGGACTTGTGTCAAGTAAATGAAAATTCATGAGTTTATAATGTCAGCAAAGAACAACTCTCATTGGCTACCAGTGAAGGTGACAGAACCCTGCTATTACTCTGAACCTTTATAAATGATGCTTTTATCCTGCCTTTCCTGCGTGAAAGGGTGAAAATTTGTATTTAGTGAAGGAGTTTGGGAAAAAATGCAGAAGGAGTGATATAGTTGGAAAATCACCATTTTGCAATTTGTAGTGAAATAATGAGTCTAGAGCAGTGGTTCTCAACCTTCCTAATGCCGTGACCCTTTAATACAGTTCCTCATGTTGTGGAGACCCCCAACCATAAATTATTTTTGTTGCTACTTTATAACTGTAATTTTGCTACTGTTACGGATCGCCATCGGAAATATGTGTTTTCCGATGGTCTTAGGCGACCCCTGTGAAAGGGTCGTTCGACCCCCAAAGGGTTCGTGACCCACAGGTTGAGAACCGCTGGTCTAGAGACTAATCACCAATGGATAGTAAAACCATTAGATGAAAAATTGGTGTTCACTTGTCTCAGCATCATTTGTTCGACTTCTCTTTACCTGTTGTATTGTCTTGGCACCCTTGTTGAAAATAATTGACCATAACTGTAAGGATTTATTTCCTGATTGTTGATCCTATTCCATTGATTACCTTAAACCAATACTGATTATTGTAGCTTTGTAGTAAGTTTTGAAATTGGGTCCACCAACTTTGTTCTTCTTTTTAAAATGTCATTTTGGCTTTTTTTTGGGGGGGAAACCAGCTGTTAATACATCTATTTTGGGGAGTATTTCCATTTTAACAACAGTAAGCCTTCTGATCCCTAATCATGAAGTGTTTTTCTATTTAATCATCTTTAATCTTTCAGTAATATGTTGTAGTTATTTTTTTAAATCCTCACCCGAGGATATGTTTTTACTGATTTTTTTTAGAGAGGAAGGAAGAGAGAGAGAGAAAAACATCAATGTGAGAGAGAAACATTTATCAGTTGCCTCCTGTATGCACCTCCACTGGGGATCAAACCCACAGCCTAGGTATGTGCCCTGACTGGGAATCCAATGTGAAATCTGGTGTATGGGATGAGCCACCCAGCCAGGGCCCATTTCATGATTCTTGATACATAGCCCAATTTGTTTTGCCAAACTAGTACTGTTACATTGTGTACTAGTTTTAGCATAGTTCTGTAGTAGTTAGATATTATGATGTTTTAAATAACTAATAAGCGAAAAGGGCATGAAATTATTTAATCTCCATTTAAAAAAATTATTTAATGTGATTCATTAGTAGTATATGTGAGAATTAGGTTAATTCCTCATATTTAATTTGGAATATTAAATAAAGATGTAAAACATGTTAAACATTTTTTTTTGGTGTCTGATGTTATTCTACTTGTTTTCCTGACAGCTTGCCGATGTTCACCGTGCTCAGGAAATTCACCATCCCACTGACTTTACTCCTGGAGACCGTCATACTCGGGTGATTTGTGTCTTTCCTCAGTGCCTCTGCTGTCGCGTTCCCCTCCCCACAGCATGTCCACCTAGCGAGTTCTAGCGTCTAGTCCTCCTTTCCTGGCGGTTGGTTTGAATTGCTGGTAGCAGTAACTTAAGGACAAGTAGTTTGTTAACTTAAAAGCAGTGTCCTGTTTCCATGATACCTTATGAACTTCGTAAGTGGTTTTTTTTAAAATTCCTCACCCGAGGATATGTTTTTATTGATTTGGGAGAGAGAGACACACACATACAGAGAGAGAGAGAGAGACATTAATGTGAGAGAGAAACATCGATTGGTTGCTTCTCATAAGTGCCCCGACAGGGAATTGAACCTTGTGCTCTGACCGGGAATCAAACCCGCAACCTTTTGGTGTTTGGGATGATGCCCAACCCACTGAGCCACACCGGCCAGGGCATGAGTGATTTTTTTTTTAATTGTAATTGTATATTAGGCAGAAAATACATGTTTTGGTAGAAATTTATCAAAACAACAACCCCCAAACATGTAAATCTGTTTCCTGAGCCAAATGGAATATACCCTGACTTTAGAATAGAGAGGAACAGTTGTCCACATATACATATGGGTTGGGGGGAGACAGTCTGGGAGAGCCATTCTGATGTAGTGATTATGACATGACTTCAGAATAAATTGATTTTTGTACTGTTGGTTTAGAAATTTCTCATAAGGGTATTTTTCTCAGGCTGACATCCAGAAAGGTCATTCCTGATTTTGCTGTGAAGATTATTTAGCAATGACATTTGGATGATGGCCCAATGCTTTAAGTCCTATTGAATTTTATCTTAATCTTTGGATTCTTGGTAACAGTACATACCAACTAGACCTACGGGCAGGAGCTGTTCTGCATTTTGTCTCAGCGTCTCTCTAGTTACGGGTGGGGAACCCTTTTTCTGCCAAGGGCCATTTGGATGTTTATAACATCATTCGCGGGCCATACAAAATTATCAGCTCAAAAATTAGCCGCTGTATTTGGTCAGGCCGATTTGGTGAGGCTGTGATGTTAGCTGGTACTGATTTCATGGGCCTTGGACGGCCCGTGGGCTGGACATTCCCCACCCCTAGTGAGAGCAGAGAAATATGTTTATAATTAGATTAAGGCAGTTGCTTAAGAACTACAGTGAATTTGGTGTGACTTACTAGTCTACTTAAAGATACTTTTAATGCTTTCTCTAGGGAAAGCATTAATCATTAGATTTTTAGCTATCAAACTGTTAACATTGTCTATTTTCAGTTTGTTTTAAAAATGTAGTCTCTGTTTTTTTACTCCCCTCCTTCTTTCCTTGGTCTGTCTGTCTATCCATCCATCCACCCATCTGTTGGTTTATTGCAGGAGACAGTATTCCTTGAGCATCATCGTCAGTGTCTTTGCCATCATTGTGGGAGCTTTCATAGCAGCTGGGTAAGGCTTCGGACAGTTTCTGCTCAGTAACTTCTTTGTGTCCTTGACAATAGGCCCGGTCCCATTCTCATTTTTATTTTCCATCTGGCTGCCGTCTAACTGAGCAGCCAAGAGACAAATCTGTGGATGTCAGGGGAATCCCTGTGTGTCCCGGGGAAGTCAGACTGGATTCTATGGCCAGAACATGTCTGAGAATTACAAAGAGAGAGTTATACGGTCTTAACTCAGCTTTTCTTCATAAAAAGCAATGAACTGTTTACTTTTGTTACTGAATATTTGTCTTCAATATAAAAATTTTACTTGAAAACTTCTTAGGCATTTGATCAAGAAAAATAGCAGATTTTTAAAACCCTCGACTGCTGATTTGTTTTGTCATCCTGGGATGCCGTAGAAGCCAGTATCTCCGAGGGCGGAATACGAAATACTCTCCTGAAATATTTTGGTTGTTTGGACATGAGCAGTTACCAGCGCATGGCTCCGATCTTACTGGCGTGCAAGACCAGGAATGAGAGCTCCAAGTTGGCATTTGAAAGCAGGCACTCAGTCTCCATCTTTTTTCTTTTCTTAAATATGTTTTTATTGCTTTTTTTAGAGAGAGGGAGGAAGGGAAAGGGAGAGAGAGGGAGAAACATTGGCTGCCTCTGCACACACCCGGGCCAGGGTTCCAGCCAGCAACCTGGGTATGTGCCCTGAGCAGGGATCAAACCGGCAGCTCTCCGTGCACAGGACGACACTCAGCCAGCTGAGCCACACCAGCCGGACTCCATCTTTTATAGCGTGGTGGTTACAGCATGTGTGCAGTTACACTCCCTGGGTTTTAGACTTAGCCCTGCCCCTGTCAGCTGTTTCTCAGCGTCTCTGTGCCCCAGTTTCCTCATCTGTAAAGAGTATAATAGGAAAGAAAAACCTACTTGAATGAAGGAAAGAAAGAAAAAGTTGGAAGAATTTCAGTTAAACTAGTTTCTTAACTCCTTTAGAAACGAGTCCTTGATCACTGCCTGCAAATTAAGGAAGAGTGTGGGCCACAGCGCCGGACGCTGGGCCCTCGCCCTAGCCACTCGCTTACTAGCTGTGTGACCAGGGACAAGGGGTTCCGTCTCTCGTGCCCCACTTATTTCAACTGTAAAGTAGAGATTAGAATAGCGTCCACCTAATAGGGTCTTTGTGAGAAGTGAGATAATAATAAACCAGGGTTTACACTAGTGCGTGGCCAAGTTCAACAAAAACTTATTGAGTGTTTATTGTGTGCCAGGCAGTGAACAGAACAGACAAGAGTCCTTGCCTCATGGAGCTTCCATTCTAGTTGATGGACAGACAACAACCCCCCAAAACAGACTTAAAACTATGGCATAGCACATGGTGACCGACAGTAATAACAGTTTATTATTATTACAAATGGTTGTAGTCCCCCGCCTAGCCCAAGGTTTACTATTTGTGTTGTTGTCTGTGTCATCCTCTCGCTTCCCCAGTCCCAGCCGAGGCTGAGCTCAGCCCTGGACAGCTGGCCCCTGGGGTCAGCGCCGGTGCGGCCATGGGTGCGATGCCCCTACAGACACGAGGCAGCAGCCCTTAGAGCCTCTTCCAGTCGTGAAGACTTGTGTTCAGACAAAATCGGTGGAGTCAGGTGGCTAAAACGGGAGGTTCCGTCAAAGGTTCCTCCTCCCTCAGCACTCTGGGGGTCTCCCTGGGCAGCCTCCCTCTTCCAGGAGCTCAACTGGAAAACCGCTGACAGAGAGCCAGCTGAAGACTCGTACAGAAACGGTTTCTAAAACTCCCTGGAAGTCCTTGGTGAGCAGCGGCACTTCAGGTGCTGTGTGTGGGGAAGCACAGTCCAGAACCACCCAGTGGAAATCCAGCTCGTATTGAACACGTGTGATACTCCTCGGAGCTGGAAGGGGAACTGGCGTTCCGCAAAGCCTCTAACTTTACTGGCGTGCGACCTTGGAATAGTGATCCTCGGTGTTCCCCTTTCTCAGCACCCACCGGGTGGATGTCATCCTGGTGGGTGACATGTGCAGGTCTTAGCTGTAGGCCAGCTGAGACCCCACCTTCTCCCCTTTCACTGAAATTAACTCATCCAAATGCAAGAGATCCTAGAAGGGACTCAGTTGGATCAGCCAATTTATGCCGCTGTAACAAACAGCCCCACATCTTCTCGTGGTGGTTTAACGTACCAAGGATGTGCTGCTTGCACCACGCATGCTCCAACAGCAGGCAGTGCTGTGTGTGCTCTGCCCAGTGTAGCTACTCAGGGATCCAGACTGTGGGACCGCTGCCTCCCCCGGGCTGGGAGAGGCACATGGGAACTGTGTGCTCTGACTCTGCACCTTTGGCCCTGAGGGCATGTGTTAATTCCTCTGACATTTTTTTTTTAATCCTCACCTGAGGACATTTTTTGCATTAATCTTCAGAGACAGTGGGAGGAAAAGGGGGAGGAAGAGAGGGAGAGAAACATTGATGTGAGAGAGACACATTGAGTGGCTGCCACCCACACGACCCCAACAGGGGCCGGGGACAAACTGCAACCCAGGTACATGCCATTGGTGGGAACCGAAGCCGGGTCTCTCTGGTCCGTGGGCCAACGCTCCAACGGCTAAGCCAAACTGGCCAGGGCTCCTCTAACATTTTATTTGCCAAGGCAAATAACCTGTCCAGAAAAAGTTGAAATAGGATGTTTGTGAACAGCCCTAAATGACAACCACAGGGGTTAACCACGAACCAGCTCCTTTATAAACAAGTAAATTCTCCAATTTCTGTGCTTTTACTACAGGCCTGAACAAATGAGGTTTGGAACTAATCCCCCCTCCCAGTCCCCACCCTACCAGGTTTGAGAATCTGGGACTTTCCCTCGGGCTCTCAGGAAGTGAGCAACACTTTCTTTCCATTCCTTTAGGAAGCCTGGCTCTTTTGCCACTTAACTCTGCCAATTCAGGGAATGGCCAGCTTTTAAAAATGAGCGAAGTGTGAGTAGGAGAAGGTTGGACCCCGTATTTTGAGAGAGTCTATATCTGCGAGTGAGCCAGAGAATTCTGATTTATGATGATTGAAAATTAATTTACATTCTCCCGAACATATTTGTAGATAAAAATGCCAGTGGGAGCTTTAAGTAAAATCTGGTTTAATTTGTGTTCAGTTCTTGCCTCTTGGTACTCCCTTCTCTTTGGTTAGAAATACAGTGATACCTCGGTTCTCGAACATAATTCGTTCCAGGAGGACGGTCGAGAACCAAATTGTTCGAGAACCGAAGCAATGAAACCCAATAGGAAATAATGGAAACTGGATTAATTCGTTCCAAGCCCCAGAAAATGCCTATTTACTGGCCTAATTTGTATATAATATGTAGAAAAACATAAGTCTCAACAAGAAATAAAAGTGTGCAGTATGTCTAAGGGTTAAATTCAGTGTAAAGCGTGACTCTCTCCACAAAGCGTGACTCTCTCTCTGCACTCACACTGATGGCGCGAGCAAGGCGCGCTGGGCCGAATGAACGCCATTCGGCTCAACTCGGCTCATCTCGGAAGTTCGAGTTCCAAATATTTGTTCGGATTCCAAGACAAAAGTTTCTCGAATCTCCTGGTCGAATACCGATTTGGTCGAAATCCGAGGCGTTCGAGAACCGAGGTATCACTGTAATCTTATTTGGATAGCGAAGGGAATCAGGACACACCACTCCAGAACAGGCCACTTTGGAATAAGCGTTATATTGAGCTGAGGGCAGTTGAGAATCAACAGATGTAGGCATTCTCTGCCCCCCTTCTCTGCCTGAAAGCAGCCATACATGTCCCTTTGGGAAAGTGCCCCTCTCTCTACCAGGACTAGGGAAGCAGTTCTTGTCACCTACGGAAGGGAGTCAGCATAAACAGACCTCACTAAAAGAACCCGAATCTTCCTTTTTAGTTTCCCCCATATATTCCTTAGTCCCTTCCCATCATGTGTTTGTTCCTGTTTGTTGAAATGGTATGTAAGCCCCAGAGTTTAACAGCTTCAGCAGGTTTCACTTCTCTGTGAACTCCTGTTTGCAGAAAATACTGACTACAGTTTGTGTACCTTGTTTTGCTGCTTACCTGCCTGTTAGTTAATTCGTGGGCCCCCAGTCGCTGAACCTGAGCGGGCTGGGGCACCTGCTTGGCGGTGGGCGTCTATGAATTATGACGTGGGTCCGAGACTGCCTGCAAGGCCAGGTGCAGGGAGCGAGTCGCCTTCTGGCCGAGCTTTGTTCTCTCTCCTCCCTGTGCCGCATTCTCCCCAACGTGTTTATACCCGGATTAACTGAAGGCAGATGTTTACGAGAATGGGGAGAAGGGAGCCTTGGAGGAGTTGCAGAGAAGGAATGGATCCCTGCTTCGCGTTTTTAAAACAAATTATTTTTCTTTATTGATTTTGGAGAGAGGAAGGGAGAGGAAGAGAGAGAGAGAAATGTCGATGAGAGACTGGCCTCCTCCTGCATGCTCCCCACTGGGGATTTGGCCCACAACCTGGGCATGTGTCCTGACCCGGTTTGGCTCTTGGTGCCTGGGTCGATCTTTGCCTTTTTGATGGACAAGGTACTGGAGGTGACTGTTTGGACACCAGATGGAGGTGTCAGTTTCTCAAATGACCCCTCTTGCCCCAGTCACTGCCCAGCTGTCCCCAGCAGTACCCTGGGGATGGCCCTGTTTACCACAAGAAGAAACTGCCACCGGGTTGTTGGACAAGTCCCTCCCCTTAGAAAAGCAGAGATCAGCAGTTCACACATCGATTTATCAGTTAGCAAAAGAAAGGACTTTGCAGTTAAAGGGAGATGGTTCATGTCCTCTGGTTAAGCCACTCCTGATTAAGTTGAAGCCACCTGGTGGCCTGGTTTTGTTTCTGTCCGGAGGCAAAGCAGAGGAATTAAGCATTCATCACCACCCGGGGGGGAATGCACGGAAGGAGGTAGCCACTAGCATCACAAATGGATTTGATCTGGAAAAGATGAAACAGGCTGACTTTGAGCCCAAGATGTGAGTTTCTGAATAATCCTCTTCCTGTGTGTTCTCCCTCCCAGTTCTGACCTTGCTTTTAACTTGGAAGGCTACATTTTTGTATTCCTGAATGACATCTTCACAGCAGCGAATGGAGTTTATACCAAACAGAAAATGGACCCCAAGGTACCCTATCTTCACTTCTGTGTCTCTTAGGCTTTGTCACCCGGCCCCTGAAATTACGTGAAAAAGGAAAATGAACTTGTCAAGTTGGCATGTAATCTAATTTACATAATGTCACTAATTTCTTTTCAGTGATCTTGTCTGTATAGTTCCTTGTCGCCCCTTGTCTCGTGAAGTTTTGGTTGACAATTAGATAGGACAGGAAGAAGATGCCACTCTTTTTGAAGCTGCCAGAACATATAAAAGGGATTATTTGGAAAGGCCAATGGAAATTAAAAGACGTCTGTTGCCATCATCACCCGTGACCAGGGAGAAGCCTGAGGGCCACTGCAGTGTGAGAGTTGGAAGTGACAGTTCCAGCTAAGAGTCCTACCGCTCACGGGTGGTCACGTGACTTTGAACCTTAACTTTGTCAAACCTCAGTTTCCCCATCTATGGAATGAGATGGTTGGAGAGGATAATTTATAAGGTCCTGTCCAGCAGTAACCGCCTCTCAGTCCTGAGGGGCTGGTGGGCAGATGAGCTTTTCTTCTGAGTTGCGGTCTCCATGTGGGGGCCCCCGGCCCTCACCCCACCCCAGCTGTTCCGGAAGCTCCGAGGAGGAGCCAGACATACGTGTCTTTGTTCCAAGTTCTTTGTGTGGCGTGAGGGGTCTGCTCTGATGGACAGGCTTCTTTCTACGAGCTGCCTTTTAACGGCACTGTTTTCTTCTGCACAGCCGGCCGTCTGCTTTTTCATGGTGGCAGTTTCACAAAACAAGTGTGCTGCCTTCTGAGAGTCACAATATGTCACCCTTTATGGAAAGTGGCGGAGAAGTGGTGTAGCCTCTTCAATGAAAAGTAAATTTATGGAAGATTGGAAAACGAGATACCTGATGTTTTAACCCTGCTGTTCTTTAATGGAAAGAACAGATGTTTTTAAGGAGCTCTGTTTATATTAACATTTTTAATGTTCTTTATTGTGTTCCAGAGTTCCTATTTTGAATAGTGTGCTTAAAAAAAATGTAGAAAGTCCGAGAACGGTGGGACCTCGGAGGCCATCCATTTTGTCTGTCGTTTTTGTGTAAAACAAATGCCTATTCCAAGATGACAGTATACTTGAAGGGAAGCATTTTACATCACAAATTTACTGAAAATATTCCACCACAGAGCTGGTCAGGCTGCATATTCTAACTCTGCATAAATACATGGTCGTATAAATGGGAATGGGATGCTTCGTGCTCCTAAAGTCAGGTGGCGTTGCCTTTGTTTGTGCAGGAGCTGGGCAAGTATGGAGTGCTTTTCTACAACGCCAGCTTCATGATTATCCCGACCCTCATCCTCAGTGTGTCCACCGGAGACCTCCAACAGGTGAGCTGGGCGGTCTGTTACCATTTCCGCACGTAGCCTCTAGTGCTCGCTGCCGTGGAAAGTGTAAAGGTTTCTGGGATCCCCGAAAGCAAGGTGTTTGGCCTCCCGGTGATGCCCCGGCACTCTCCTTTCGTGCGCATTTCCCTCCGACACCTGAGAAGTGGCGGCAACTCCGGGCTGGACGCCTTTTGGAAAAAAACCATAAAAGTCTCAGTTTGAGTCTCTCTACCCTTTGCCAATGTGGGGAGCCTGGGAAAGCTACCTAAGTTAGAAGGGGATTTTGACGTTAAAATAAAAATAGCTTATTTATTTATTACCTTGCTTATGGACAGTTTAAAACACCTACACAGTAGAATCGTTGAAGGAGCTCAGCTTCTACATGTTCTGGTATTTTGCCATTTGAACGTCATCTTTCCCCTCTGCCCTCACTTTTCCCCCTGGAATATCTTTTTTTTTTTTTTTAAATCCTCACCGGAGGATATTTTTCTGTTTATCTTCAGATAGAGTGGGAGGCGGGAGGGGGAGAGAGACATCCATGTGAGAGGGACACATCGACTGGTTGCCTCCCGCACCACCCAGAACAGGGCCAGGATCCAACCACAACCGAGGTCCATGCCCTTGGCCAGAATCGAACCCACAACTCACTAGTCCGCAGGCCAGCGCTCTACCGCTGAGCCAAACCAGCCAGGGCGCCCCCTGGAATATTTTAAAGCAAGATCCTGACATCGTGTTAGTTTGCCTCGAAGTATTCCAGGGTCAGTGTTTGCATTTTGGGGCCGTATTTCTCTTTTGGTGTCTGCCCTGCGCTGGTCTGCGCTGCACACCCGTGAGGGGCGGACAGAGGGGTGGCCCAGCAGGAATGTAGGCGGCGGCCGCAGGGCCTGGAGGCCGGTCTAGGAGGGCCGAGTGTGCACCCGGGACAGGACAGCCGCAGCGGCCCCCGCGAGCTGAGCCAGCCCTGCGGGCCCTGCCAGCCTGCCTCCTCCCCCGGCCCCGCGGCTGCATCCCTAGGAGAGTTGCTTGTCTTAAGGAGATGTTTAAGTTCAAGTGAAAAACTAGGGTGCCGGGCAAAACCCTGGTCCAGTGTGGCCTCCGCACCCCAACCGCCGCTGGCTCAGCGTTAACCCTCTCCTTGCTGGACGGTGGGAGGGGGTCAGAGAGCCCTTCCCCGCCGCAGGCAGCCTCCCTCGGAGCCGGAACAGGCCGGGTGCGCGGGGTAGAAGGCTGCGGGCTTGGGGACTCCTGGGCTGATGGCAGGGCTGAGTGTTCTTGCTCAGAACTGTACTTTCTCACGTGTACAGTTTCTGTACGGAAACCAGGGATCAGCAGAAGGGCTTAGCAACAGCGTCTCCGGGATAAACAGCCATTTCCATGTCTTTTATTGAAAACCACCCAGAAACAAACGAGTTTTGATAAAGGGCTGACATCGAGGCCTCACTGTTAGTTCAGTGTTGGAAGGTAGAGCAAGCACCTCACCCCTCTCTAGGGAGAGCCAGTAGGGCAGGATATCTGAAAACACATTTACTTTTCAGCTAACGATCAACTCATTATTTTATTTTATTTGGTACGTGCCCCTAGCATGAACCGAACCCGGGACTCTCCAGTCCCCAGGCCGACGCTCCAACCGCTGAGCCACACGAGCCGGGCGGATCAACTGATTTTAAACCATTCGGTGCAGGTTACCTTCCCAAAGTGAACCCTCTGTGAAGCAGCCCTGGCAGCTTGTTTCATGTCATCACCACAGAAACGAGTTCTTCCCCTGAAGTCACTGCAGTTCATCTGTTCTGAGATTCTAGGGTTTGAGAGTCGTTTCAGATATATATATTTCTAGAAATAGAAATCTAGAAATTCCTAGAAACTCTTTGAACACTTGATTGAAGCTGAAAGCATATTTCCCCGTAGGAACAATGCTATGTACCCAGAGGAGCCTGGAGGGTAAAGTTTCTTCCTCTCCCACAGTTGAATCAGGACAAACATCTTCCAACTGGTCACCTTAAACCATGGCTGCCTCCGTGTTAGATTGTGAACCAGATACAATAAAGAAGCGAATTTCTGTGCATAGGTCTGTAGTGTGTGAGATAAAATTGCATTTTACTTGCCAACTTTGGTTTGGTTGTTCCGGAGTTGATGGATAACTTAGACTAAATGTTAACTTCTCTTGTTATTGGAAGGAGCCCTTTGCTGAGTCAGTTTTCCTGGCTGACTCCAGGGGTCAGAGATTGTGTGAGGACTGGGTGTGAGTCACAGCGCCGGGGGGCTCACTGCTGGACCTTGGACTTCGTCAGGTCTGCTAATAGCACCTTGATTCTGTCCGATAACCAAGTCGGCGATTGTTAGCAAACGAGGCCTCTGGAAAGCATGCAGTGGGTGAACTTTCTTTAGTCATTTGAATCACTGAATTGTTGAATCAAAAAACATTTATTTAAAAAAATTATTTAAAGCCCAGCTGGTGTGGCTCAGTGGTTGAGCTTCGACCCATGCACTAAGAGGTCGCCGGTTCAATTCCTGTTCAGGGCACATGCCCAGGTTGTGGGCCTGATTCCCAGATTTATACTCATCGTATATATTTTTTCTTTCACAAGCATTTTTTGAAAAAAGTTTTAAGATGGAAACTTTCAAACCTGTGCAGAAGGAGAGAGAATAGTATAACAATCCCCATGTACCCAGCAACCATTTTCAGCAGTTATCACATTTAATGTGTAACCTTTTGAGAAGAGAGTGGGCAAAGTATTACAAATGAAACAATGACAATAAAGTGTGACAAGGTTGTACTAATCAGACAAGAGAATGAATTCCATTTTAATTAGTTTAGACAATTTGAATTATAAACTAAGAAAGATTTAAATAATATTTATTTATTTATTTATTTATTTATTTATTTATTTATTTATTTATTTATTTATTTATATTTTTATTCCTCACCGGAGGATATTTTTCCTCCCATTATCAGATAGAGTGGGAGGGAGGGAGGGAGGGAGAGAGGGAGACAGAGAGAAACATGGATGTGATACAGCCACATTGACTGATTGCCTCCCCCACGACCCGACCTGGGCCGGGTATGAACTGCCACGGAGGTAGTGCCCTTGACCTGAATCGACCTTGCGACTCATTGGTTCGCAGGCCAACACTCTAACCGCTGAGCCCAGCCGGCCAGGGCAACATTCATTAAATCTTCACGTCAATCTTTTGAGGAAGTTCTATTTAAAAATATTTTTTTGTAATATTTTTCTTTTTACTGATTTTTTTTAGAGAGAGAGGAAGAGATTGAGAAATAGAAACATTGAGGTAAGAGAGAACCTTCAATTTGCTGCCTCCTGCACGCCCCCTACTGGGGATCGAGCGGGAGTTGAACCGGGACCGCTCAGTCCACTGAGCCACACCAGCTGGGCTCTTTTGAGGAAGTTTAAAAAAAAATTTTTTTTATTTTGTAAAATGAACCTGAGGTTTAGGGAAGAAAAGTAATTTTCCCAATGTCACATAACTGGTACTTCCTAGGATTTTAAAAATCATATTTTCTGTTTGGGAAATTGGTTCCTGTACTAAATAAAATGCACAATATGGTAAAACCAATAGATCTAAACTATAATATTATTAATCTAATCATTAGTTTTCTTTCTTTTTGATAATAGGCTACTGAATTCAACCAATGGAAGAATGTTCTATTTATCATACAGTTTCTTCTTTCCTGTTTTTTGGGGTAAGAAACCATAGGTAAATATAAACTTTGGTCATGGTGTCACTTGACAGGTCAAATCAAAATATACATTTTGGACCAGCTGGTGTGGCTCAGTGTTGAGAGTCGACCCACGAACCTCTCTCTCTCTGCCTCTCCCTTTCTCTCTCTAAAAATCAATAAAGAAAAAAATAAAGAAAAAAATTAAAATATACATTCTGTCTGTTCTGTCAAAATTTCTTTGTTTGTGCTTCTCTAACCTTCTTTGGAAAGCACCCCTGTAGTAGAGACGTGGACTGGGACCCAAGTCACATGTCACATTCTATTCCAAATATGATGTTGCCTCTTGATTTCTGACAGTTCGTCTGAAATGAAGTTAGCTGACATGTCAAATTCAGTACTGTGTGTGTCTTTGTCACAGTGTCCCAAATTTTCCAAGCTATACCTCATAAATATGTGGACATGACAACCATTTTCTGTGGTGCTCTACCTGTGATACTCAGGGACATTTCTGAGACGTGTCAAGGCCATTTTATTGTCCAATAAGTAAAAAAAAATTTTTCTTTTTGATTTTAGAGAGAGAGGAAAGGAGAGGGAGAGAGAAATAGAAACATCAGTGAGTGAGAACATCAATTGGCCGCCTCCTGCATACTCCCCATTGGGGATTGGGCCCACAGATTGGGCATGTGCCCTGACTGGGAATGGAACTGGGACCTCTTAGTGCATAGGTCAGTTCTCAACCACCGAGCCATATCGGCTGGGCTGTCCAATAATTTTAAGCTTTTGTTCTTAAAATTTTGTGTAGATCTATGCTATGAGAATCCATTCAGCTATGTCTTTCTTTTCTTCTTCTTCTTCTTTTTTATGTTCTCCAAACTTGAAACTTTTCATGAATAGATAATACATGCAGCTAACATATAATCCAAAAGCTGCAAAAGAATCCACAGGAAATGTAAGCCACCCTCCCTCCCTCATTCATTCAGGCATTCACTTTCCCGTCTTCCCTGCCCTGTAGCACTGCAGCGTCCTCTCCAGAGGCAGTCACTTTTTGAAGTCTTTGGAGTATCCTTTCTGGGCTGGGCTCCATGTCTACACAAGTCCTGTGTCTTATCCCATAGGAAAGGGTCTTTGAATGTGTCTCAGGAAATTACTTATCAAAAGTCTTTCCCTGTGAAGAAAGATGAGTTTCCCCCTTATTTTTTTAACCACGAATACTGCAATTTTAATTATGTGTAAATAAACTAAGACAACTCATGATCTCTTTGATCAGCAATCAAGTTTCAAACTGGGTTTTAATTGCATAATGTAGTCACATACAGTAAAAATATTTATGTATATCTTCCAGTTTAGTGTTTCTCTCTTTCGCTATGTCTCATTTAATGTTTAACCTGATGATAGGGTTTTTGATTTTAACAATTTTTTATTTTATTTGTCAACGTTTCACAGCCTTTTTTTCGAACATATCTGCTCATTTTCAACATTCTTTCATTGGTGATCTTTGTGACTGTAACTTTTATTTCCTTAAATGTTACATGCATAGCTATTCTATATTCTGTATCTGATGATTCCTACACCTGCAGTTCTTAAGAATCTAAATATGTACTTTATTGATTAAATCTGTAGTTTGTGCCCTGGCCGGTTTGGCTCAGAGGTTAGAGCGTCGGCCTGCGGTCCTGAGAGACCCGGGTTCGGTTCCCGCTAAGGGCGCGTACCTTGGTTGCAGTTTGTCCCCAACCCTGGTTGGTTGTGCGGGTGGCAGCCACTCGATGTGTCCCTTTCATGTCGATGTTTCTCTCTCTCCTTCCCACTCTATCTGAACAAAAAATGGAAAAAAAATGTCCTTGGGTGAGGATAAAAAAATAATCTGTAGTTTATGGCTGTCATTATGGTTTGCTTTCTAGTGTGTTTGGTGACTTGTAATATTGCTTAATCTTAATCAGTCCTATTGGCTGAAATTGAGAATTTGAGAAACTTTCCTACAGGGACAAATTGATTTTGCTCCAGCTGGTAGCCAAGTGTTGCCTCTGACCTGGATCACTTCAGGCCTTTTTGAGGGCCTGGGTTCAGGGGGTTACAGTGGTCCACCCCTCCCACCTGGAGTTCGGTCCAGGGCTCAGGTTCCAGGCAGCTGCTCTGCCCCGAGTCTGCCTGGCCATCCGCTGCTCTGACTGCTGCTGGCTCCATCTCCTTACTGCTCTGTACCATTTCCCCTCTTGCAAAGGGTGCTTTTGAATGACCTCTTGTGCCTCTTTCAAAACCAACAATCTCTCAAATAATGTGTCCTTTCCATTCATTGGTTGTTCTGCAGTGGGAGAGCAGTTGTTCACTGAGAACATTTAACTTTGAAAAAAAACCTACTAAGCTGTGTTGTGAGTCACGCTTTGTCAAACCATCCTTTCTTCCTTTCCAATTAAAAAAAAATCAACCCATATCATACAAACTCAGACCACCTTTTCCTGCCTCAGGCCATTCACCTGTGAACAGCAGGGCAGGGTCTCCAACTCTTGTTTCACATCATTATAAACTAGGTGAGACACTGTTTTTGTTTTTTTGTTTTTTAACTTGTCTTTTACTATGTAACCATTCCATGAGGGAAATCAAGAAGTAAACCCTTGCCCTGGCCGGTTTGGCTCAGTGGTTAGAGCGTCGACCTGCGGTCCAGAGAGACCGGGGTTCGGTTCCTGCTAGGGGCGTGTACCTGGCCGTGGTTGGTTGTGCGGGTGGCAGCCACTCGATGTGTCCCTTTCATGTCGATATTTCTCTCTCTTCCTCCCACTCCATCTGAACAAAAAGAAAAATGGAAAAAAATGTTCTCAGGTGAGGATTAAAAAAAAAAAGTAAACCCTTGCCTTGGTAGGGTTGGCTCAGCAGTTAGAGCGAACCAAGGGTCACAGGTTCGATTTCCGATCAAGGGCACATATCCCTGGCCCTGGGTTGCAGATTTGATCCCTGGCCCTGGTCCGGGTCATGCGGGAGGCAGCAGTTGATGTGTCTCTCTCACATTGATGTTTCTCTTTCTCTCCCTCTCCCCCTTCCACTCTATCTAGAAAAACATCCTCGGGTGAGGATTAACAAAAAAGAAGTACACCCTCTGTGGGGAGCTGTCTTCAGTAAGCAGCTGGTCAGCAGAACCTGGATGTGGGCTGGCACCCTCTGGGCTGACCTGTGAGAGGCAGGACCTCTCACAGGTACCATCTGTGTACTGTTCCATACCTTTCCCCCATTGAATAATGTACTTAGAAAACAAATACTCTCTTGTTAAAAGTTTTTAATGTATTATTTTCTCAGTAGTCCCTTTGCAAATGAAAATGCCCTAAAGGCATAGTAATTATAAATAAATCAGTAAAAATGATGAAATTAACATTTCAACCAACTTTAAGGATGAAAACTTGGTAGGTCTCAGTTTTTTAAGTGGGTCTTTGGTGGACAGTAACATCATCACACATTCCAACAAGTACTTGAACTCTGGGATCAGATGGTCTGGGTTTCTGTCCTGGCTTTGCCACTTATTAGCTCTGGGACCTTGAATAAGTTATTTACCCTTGCTGAGCCTCAGTTTCCTTACCTATAAAATGGTAACAGTGAACCAAAGTATCTGATTTATAAGGTGGGGTTCTGTGAGTTGAATGAGTGAAGAGCACTTAGAACAGTGCTAGACATAGAAAATGCTGGGTCAGTATTAAATATTGTTAATATTTCTCTTTTTTGAGGCCAACCTGTTCACTTTGGCTGTCTTCTTCTTGTTTTTTTAATCCTCACCCGAGGATATGTTTTTATTGATTTTAAAGAGAAGAAGGGAGCCCTGGCCGGTTTTGCTCAATGGTTAGAGCATTGGCCTGTGGACCAATGAGTCGCAGGTTTGATTCTGGTCAAGGGCACGTGACTCGGTTGCGGTTCATCCCCGGCTCTGGTTGGGGTTGTGCGGGAGGCAGCCACTTGATGTGTCTCTTTCACGCCGATGTTTCTCTCTCTCTCTCTCTCTCTCTCTTCCTCTCTCTCCCTTCCACTCTATCTGAACAACAAAAAAAGGAAAAATGTCCTTGGGTGAGGATAAAAAAAAATTAAAAAATGAAATATAGAGAGAGGAAGGGGTAGAGAGAGAAACATTGAAGTGAGAGAGAAACACCAATTGGTTGTCTCCCTACAGGCCTTGATTAGGGATCAAACCTGCAACCCAGTTATGCGTCTTGACCAAAAATCAAACCTGCAGCCTTGTGGTATATACGGCAACGCTCCAGCCAACTGTGCCACCCAGCCGGGGCTGGCTGTCCTCTTTTTACTCCAGACAAATTTGGTTCTACCCATAACCATGGATTTGAGAGTTTTTCTCCTGTTATGTTATCTTCAGTGGTCACGTTTTAATTCTGAAACTACTCTGGAGGGAAGCAGCAGTCTTGGCACGGTAGAGTTTTCGGAACCCTGCTTTCTTGGAGTTTCTGGCTCAAAGGACACCGTGATGGGGCCGTTCGCCTCCTGCAGTTAGTAGAAACCACAGTGAGTTTCTGAGAACATCCTTGGTGCTCAGAACAACTGGGACTGGGCTCAGGCTGTCCCTTCCCTCAGGTCGCTGCTCCAGGGGCTTCTAACCCCAGACTCCAGAGGCCTCCGACACAGCCTCCTACTTATAAATGTACCCCTTTCCAGTTTGCCCTTCAGACTGACTTTTTCCAGCCACCGGACCTCTATTCCAAGTTGAAAATAAATTAAAATAATTATAACACGTTAAAAATGTAAGAGCCAGTGGAACGGTGAAAAGGGGAGACTTCTCTTTCGAGTTGTGGGAAGGACTCACGTTAAGAGATGCTGCTTCTGGGGGGGGGGGGTTGTGAATAATGCATACGATGGAGTGGGGTGGTGTCAGGAGGAGAAGTTGGGTGTGGGAGCAGGGATAGTGAAATATAGACTGGAACCTAAGCTGACCAGTGGGATTTCAGTAAGCTCGTTCTGGCCCTGGCCGGTTTGGCTCCGCGGTTAGAGTGTCGGCCCACAAACCAGAGAGTCCGAGGTTCGGTTCCCGCTAAGGGCATGTACTTCAGTTGCAGTTTGTCCTCGGCCCCGGTTGGGGTCGTGTGGGTGGTGGCCACTTGATGTGTCTCTCTCACATCAATGTTTCTCTCTCTCTCTCTCTTTCCTCCTCTGTCCATCTCGCTTTATCTGAAGATAAATGCAAAAATGTCCTCTGGTGAGGATTAAAAAAAAAAAAAGGCTAGTTCTGCAGGTCTTTTTAATCTTGCTGAGATGACAGGTTCTCGTTCATTTGTACCAGCCTGGCACCAGGCCCCAGGCTTGGAGGCAATTATCCTAATCTGTTTCTGCCCCAGTAACAGGCCCTTTAATTCCCACTGAAGTAGTAATGTATTCCTTAATAAAAACACAAAAACATCCAATTTCCCTACTCATGGGATAAAAAATGTTCTATTCTTTGGACTTTCATTGATGCTGCCGGGGTGTGGTCCAAGAGAAAAGAGGATGCTGTGGGTTGCTGGGCACTGGAACAACAGACCCATTTAAAATGGCAGGTACTCCCATCATTTCACAGGAAACCAAGTGTTAGTGTATGACCGATGCTCTAGGAAGATGGGTCATAGTGATCCCGTGACCAGCATCCTCAAGCATCACGGAGGCCTGGGGTTGGAGTGAGTTCCTGCAAGAGAGGGGCAACATGAGAATTCCTGGCATTCTCTGAAACCTGGAATTATGGAAGAGTAATGTTTTGGGGTACCATTATGGTTGGTGCAAGGAGTGGTAAAGTGCCCTTTATTATTTGCACATTTGTTTTGAATTTCTATATATGTCTGTGCATGGAATGGGTAACCAGCAACAGGTGGTAAATGAGGCCATTTGAGTTCTGTTTGTGACTGGCATAAGTGTCCCAGCCTTTGGTAAATGGTGTGTGTGTGTGTGTGTGAGAGAGAGAGAGATTTTCAGAAACAGGAAGAACCCATTTAGCAGGGTTCTGGTCCAGGGACACCTCTGTACCACATGGACACCTCTGTACCTCCGGCCCTGTAAGCCAAACCATGCAGCTGTCTGAATAAATGTGTATCACACATATGTGCTGTTATTTTTCAAATGTACATAGATGATATATGATTAAAAATATGCAGAATGGCAAAAAGCTGCTGAGCATTTGCAGTGCTTTTAAGTATCTCTGCATTTTATTCTCCCACAGGTGTTAAAATCAAAACTACAGCCATGTGAAGGTTGACTTTTTGGTGTTAAAAGTGGTGTGGTTTCCTTTGGACTGAGTTAATAGAGGTTCTTTTAGTTTAGAACCTTTGTCTTTGCCAAAGGATCGCATAGGTACTTATTTGCATGTATAAAACATTACGTTTCTTAGGAAAAAAAATGATGCTATGATCTTAGTGGTTTTATATTCATCCTCTTTGGGGACACCTAGTGGTTATAATAAGAAATGCAGCCTTTCTGTCTAGACGCATCTGTTACCTAGAAGTGCTTGCTCATTCACTCCCCCAGGACCTTAGGGGACGGGGCTCCTCCCTTGCTAAGCCTAGCTGGTGAGTGAGTGCCCTAGTCACCCACACTTGGATGCTGGAATTTTAGATCCAAAGCGTCGGTGATTCTGAGTGCAGGCCAAGATAGTTTCACTAAAATGTGGGATGGAGAAAAGGCTGCATGAGTGGAACCCTGGAATAGGAATGTTTAAGTAAAAATAAAAGAACACCCATGCTTGTCCTGGGTTTAAGGCTGCAGTGCAGTTGAAGAAGCCTGGTGGAAGCTTTTCTGTGTGCCCTGGATTGGGTCGGTCCCCTCCCCCTAGCTGTAGTCGCTGACTTCAGTGGACTCTGAGGTCCTCTAGGTGTGGGTACTGTTTTTCCGCTCAGGCCCTGCCGAGCAGGCACTCCGTAGGCTGAGCTGTTTAATCTTCATTTTATGCATGAGTAGGATTATTTATAGTTCCTCAGGGTTCTAAATGAATGTTGAATTTATTAAAAATTAAAAAAAATCATAGATTTTGGTAAGCTTTTAATATAGAAATACTGTTGCTGTATTCATAAAGCTAGTAATTTTTGAATAAACATAATTTTACTTTTCATTATTTGATTAATGGTTTGTTACCTCAAGTTTAAATGATTAAACTCTCCTAAACAATATACTGTAAATTAGTCCTATTTACAACTTAGTGAATTAAAATTTGTTTAAACTTTTCAAACTGCATTTGCAGATGTGATTTACCTGATACCCCCCCCACCCCCCCCCCCCCCACACAGTAATTTCAGGCCCTAATGAGGCCCTAGCAAAGCTAACAAACCGGCTTCTTTGCACACCTAATCAACTCTTTGAAATCTAATAAACCAAAGTTGAAAATGTAGTAAATCAGCTTCTTTTCAACATTCGAGTACTGTGCCAATTTACTCAGATTCTCTTAACTCCTTTCAAATGAAAATTGCAAGTCGAATATCAACTACTCGTTTCAAATTAAAACCACAAAGGCCAAGATGTTGGCTGTTTTCACTTGTCAAATTGTTGTCATTACCTTAATAACAAAGACAACCTTTTCTGAGAATTTCAAATTTTAAGATTGTCATTGAGTTTATTCTTCAATTTATGTTAAAGCTTGATGAACTTTATCTCTAATTTTTTGCTCTACCGCCCCTGCTAATAAACATCTCAGGCCAGAAGCGGTCGCTGTGTTTTTCGTTTCAATTTTTAAAAAATCTTCACCAGAGGATATTTTTCCATTGCTTTTTAGAGAGAGTGGATGGAAGGGAGAGAGAGAGAAAGAAACATTGGTGTGAGAGACCCAGGTATGTACCCTGACTGGAATTGAACCCATGACCCTTCAGTTTGAGGGCTGAGACTCTAACCACTGTGCAACTGGGTAGGGTGTGGTTACTATGTTTTTATTATTCTTACTCTGTTACCAACCATGAGAGATTTGGGCCTGGACTGCACACATGCTAAGTTCCTGCCGGATTCATTTACCAGGTGCCCATGCTGAGTCCTTCCTGAGAGCTGGTTCCCTGTGCTTTGTCCATGGGGGATCCAAGCTCCCGCCTTCTAACTGGGATTTAGCTTTAAAATCCAACACATCTTCTGCTCTCTCTGGACTTTTCCAGCTTCATTCTCAACCAGTTTTGATTATAATCGCTTTCAACATTTAAGCACCTGTAGCACCCCACGTAGGCTGAAGCTAATTTTCTTTAGTATTCGATTGAAATGAATCTGTTTCTGTCTGTACCTGCAATTGGATTGTAGATTCTTTTCCTGGGTATGTATATTTTCTTGTCTGGTGCTTGGTCCCAATTCTGTAGCCTTTTTGTTGCCCAATAAGTGTCAAAATACTGGACAGTGTTGAATGCCTGTTGAATTGACTTTGATAATAAGTACAGGGGCATTACTGACGTAAGGGACCCATTCACGTCAGACTCCTTTGTCCAAAGCCAGCAACTGCTCAGTTGATTTCCTTTCTAACACCTGCGCTTCTCGGCGCTGGCTGCACCTGAGTCTCACCTGTGGCGCTTTGAGACAGCGCACGGGCCTCCTCACGCCGCTGGCGGGAGACCCTCCGCCAGGCCTCCCTGTGCGTGGGAGTGCCCGGGGGCTCTGACGCACGGGGGGGGGGGGGGCTCTGACTCAGGGGGGGGGTTCTGACGCATGGGGGTTCTGACACACACGGAGATTAAACACCAGTGTTGTGACGTGGCTGTCTAACGAAAGGTTTCAGATCATTTGAAATATCTCATTGTTTTTACCCCCTTTTCGAGGAAACACGAATAGGAAAGAGACAAAATGAAAAGGACACGGAAGGTCAGAGTTAAAAGGGTGTTTTAAGATGTAGGTTGTAAACTCTGACGGTGCTCACGGACCTGTGCGTGGCCCCCGCTGACCCCCCAGCACCCAGGCAGCCTCTCAGGTGTTCGCTTCCTCGCCCAGGTTTCTGCTGATGTTCTCCACCGTGCTCTGCAGCTTTTACAACTCAGCCCTGACCACCGCGGTGGTCGGAGCCATCAAGGTAAGGCGGTGAAGCCTGGGGTGTGGTCGAACTGGGGACTTGACTCTGAATCCAGTCTTGACGATAGAAGTTGGGTTCGATTCTGTTGTTATCGGTGGTAGGACTGGAGGCTTGGGCATTTTCAGCTGGGCCTAGGTGACCCTCTGTCTTCTAATCTCCTAACTCATAAAACAGGGAGGGCTAGCTAATTTAAAAAAGAGGCAAATTATGATTTTTTTTTAAACTTTCACCCGAGGATATTTTTTCCATTTATCTTTAGATGAGTGAAAGGGAGGGAGAAACATCAGTGTGAGAGAAACACATGGACTGATCGCCTACGGCAGGACCCGACCAGGGCCAGGGACTAACCGCAACCGAGACTGTGCCCTTGGCCGGAGTCAAACCTGTGACTCCTTGGTCTGCCGGCAGACACTCTAACCACTGAGCCAAACTGGCCAGGGCCAAATTATGATTTTTAAATTGGGGATGGTGGGAGGGGATGGTCTGGGAAAATGAAGTTAAAAAGCTGAAAAAAATGCCAAATTTCTGCACTCACCGAGATACCTTGTCATCTACGGTTTGGTTTTCTGGGAGAAGCCGCCAACTAAGAAAGGGAATTGGGAAGAACAGTTTCAGTCTAGATGTATGCTCAGTTATATATAAGGGGATACGCTTACCAATCAGTGTGGGTATTTGTGTTTGTACATGCGTTTGAACACACACATGGGTGAATAGGAGGGTAGGGGTCCCCTGAGATCTCTGCGATGGTTGCTTTGTTTTTCTGTTCATGAACTCCTACAGTGCAAAGTCTGCCTGCTCCCACAGGGCCTTGTCTGCTGGCTGCCCAGAGGCCTGCTAGGACACACAGACAGTGCTGCTGGGAATTGATGAGGTGGCTCTGATCCACTCAAGTTTAGGATCATTATAATTAAAATGCACTACCCAGTGATGGTCAAGAGATGGGATCTGGAGAGTTGATTACAACCCAGCTCTTACCCTGTGTGTGAAACACAAATAATGCAGTTTCCTGTGATTGCTGGCCATAGTTCACTTCATTTTTTAAAAAATAAAGCCTTATAACACAGTGGATTTCTATTCATTCATCCGACATTCTGTGAACACCTGCTGTGTGCAAAGTAATGAAAATATTTAGTTTCAGATTTCACTACATACATGTATTTTCCCCCTAAATTCATTACTGCTAAAGTGACCGAACCTCTCTTTTCCTGCAGAATGTATCCGTTGCCTACATTGGGATGTTAGTTGGTGGAGACTACATTTTCTCTGTGTTAAACTTTGTAGGGTTAAATATTTGGTAAGTGGGATTTTTTAAATGAGCTCATTTTAGCAAAATAGGAATTTTTAAAAGTGTGACTAATACGTTATAAGTGCAGGAGTAGGTGTTTTGACATGACAATTTCTAAGATAATTTTACTTAAATCACTCAGTTCATCTATTTTTGTGACTTACTCATGTGGATCACGGGGATGTGAGCAATGAACATTGAAGGGGCTGAGATCCGAATTTAATTTCCGTGTCTTCCATGGAAATGTCCCCTGCGTCATCTGTTGTCCTCCTGACACGGGCTCGTTAAAGTCCTCTATCAGTGTGAGGACATAGAGTAGAGGGACAGATTCTTCTAAAAGGCATGTTGGGGTCCCAGTCATGAGACCCTATTTTAGGATAACCATGTATAGTTTATTCAGTAATAACCAAGTGCTTATGTTCTCAACAAAGTTCTGTATGAGATTTGATAGACTCTTTCTGCCCCAAAAGATTTTTAAATAAGGGGGGTCATTTTCATCAAGTAATCTACAAGCAAGGAAAAAGGGGGCTCAATAATTTATAGAGATGGCAGCGACTGCTAGTGGTTTTCTTTATTTTCACTCTTTTTTTTTTTTTTTCTCCTTTCAGCATGGCAGGAGGCTTGAGATACTCCTTTTTAACTCTGAGCAGCCAGTTAAAACCTAAACCTGTGGACGAAGAAAGTGTCCCTCCAGATTTGAAGAGTTAGACGCCGGGGCAGAATCGCAGACTGAACTGCAGTCTGGGGACTCAGGGCCAGACGTTTGGGACACCCTCTGGTTAAAGCAAGAAAAGGAATGTCTGCAAAATGCAACGAGAATCTACCTCACGTGGCCTGTGCTTCAAAAATTGCAATCCTTTGATTCCCGGAGGAACGCGTCCAGGCAAAGCCTTTCCAGCCAAAAGGGAATCTCCTCAAAATAAGCCAGCGGTTAGAGGGACTGTCTCCAGGGGACGCATGTGGTCCAGCGCCCCTCTGCTGTGCATTGGTACCGCGTGTGCTTAAAAGGAGGTATGAGGTCGATGGTGGGAAGGTGATTATTTCCTTACCAGTGCCTTCGCCTAATTTCAAAGGTCCCAGCCAAAGCAAAGTGACGGTGAGCACTTTTTCAGTTTAAACAGACATCTTTATTTTCATAAAATCAGCCAATGAAGTGCCAGTAGAGTTACCTGTTAGCTTTGATTTGACCTTACATGTCGGTATTGTCCCCCAGTCATCGAAGTAAAATAAAAAATAATTTATGTGCCTGCTTCCTGCCGTGTGTGATATTGTGGTAGACAGGCAGAAAAACAGTTCCTCACTCCCCTGAAGGGTTGTGTTGGGAACGATGACAGTAACTCAGTGGCACATACTACAAGACTCAGTGTGCTCTGCCAACATGTAAGTCGGTCCCGTTTTTCTCCTCCTCTCCCTCCAGGTTTGTTCAGGGGCCTGTGAAATTCAGATGGTGTGGACTTTACCCAATGACTCTAAGCCCGTCTGACCTCCCAGATCCGTGGTGTGCTAAGGGCCCTCGTGCACGAGAGTTACTATTACTCTCCACCAAGAACTGCGCATCCCCGTGGGGTTGTGGCGCAGGGTGGGCCTCCGTCTGGGGGACGAGAGCCTTCCTCCAGCCTGGTCGTCACTGCTGCCCACGGAGACCCGCGCAGGTCGCCTTGCGCTGTGGCCTCCATCATTTTACCTGCAGACTCGAACCAGGTCTTTAAACCCCTGCCAGCTCTGACTCCTAGAAGCTGAGCCAGATGTGGGCAGGGCAGCCCGTGAAGGAAGGAGTGTGTGGATGTGTTGTTTTAATGTAAAGACATTTGAATTGTAAAATACACACAAAATGTACTATCTTAACCATTTCTGAGTGTGCAGTTCAGTAGTGGTAGGTACATTCACATGTTGTACAGCCAGTTTCCAGAACTTTCTCCTCTTGCAAAGGGAAACTGTACCGTTCAGCAGTCAGTCAGTTCCTGACCCGCCCCTCCCCGCAGCCCTGGCCACACCACCCCTCTTCAGTCGTAGGAGTCGGACGAGGCTAGATGCCTCCTGTACATGGAATCACCACGCGATGTTTGCTTTTTGTGACTGGCTTGTTTCACTTAGAATAACGTCCTCGAGGTTCACCCGTGTTACAGCGTGTGTCGAATGTCCTTCCTTTTTTTTTTTTTTTATCCTCACCCGAGGACATTTTTCCATTTTTTTGTTCAGGTAGAGTGGGAGGGAGAGAGAGGGAGAGAGAGAGAGAGAAACATCGATGTGAAAGGGACACATCGAGTGGCTGCCACCCCCACAATCGACCAGGGCCGGGGACAAACTGCAACCGAGGTACGTGCCCTTAGCGGGAACCGAACCCAGGTCTCTCAGGACCGCAGGCCGACACTCTAACCGCTGAGCCAAACCGGCCAGGGCTGTCCTTCCTTTTTAAGGCTGAACAGTGTTCCATCATGTGGATAGACCACGTTTTGTTTACCCAGTCAGTGGGCATGACATTTGGGTGCTTCCACTTCTTAGCCGTTTGTGAATCAGGCTGCCGTGAACATGGGTATACAAATATGTCTTTGAGAACATGCTTTCAATTCTTTTTGGATATTAGTTTTTAAATCTATATTTAATGATTTTGAGAGAGAGAGAAACATTGATTTGTTGTTCCACTTATTTATGCATTCATTGGTTGACTCTTGTGTATGCCCTGACTGGAGATCGAACCCACAACCTTGGCATATTGAGATGCCAACTGGGCTACCCAACCAGTTCTCCATTTGGATATTAAAATAAAAACTCATTTTCTCTATGCACAGAGCACTTCTGACACCAAATGTCACATTCGGCAGTTCTCCAACTCTGGACCCCAACGTGGTATCCTACCGTTGAATTCTGACACCACCCACAGTTAGCACAGAGCCCACGGACTAAGGGCTCAAAACTGCCCTCCAGACTCCCTCAAGACTGCCCGCCCCTTCAGATGCCAATCCCAAGTCCCAGGTTGTGGCTGGTGCTTCTGACTCACCAGCCATAAACCAGGGCTTTCCCTTTTCTTGGGTTCAATAATTTGCTAGAATGGCTCACCAAACTCAGGGAAGGGCTTTACTTTCTATGACCAATTTATTCTAAAGGATACAACTCAGGAACAGGACAAGGTACTTGGGAAATCCTCTCTGGACCTCCACTCTCCTAGCACATCAGTGTGTTCACCAACCCGGAAGCCCTCCAACCCGTCATTTCGGCTTCGTTACTCTTCGCCACAGTAACACATGGACCACAGCCACACCATTTCACAGGTTCCCAGCCTCCCCCCATCCGGCTAACCCTGGCCGTTCCCTGTTTTTATTTTGTGTAGTAGCCATCCTACTGGGTACGAGGTGGTGTCTCATGGTGGTCTTGATTCGCATTTCCCTGATGATTAGTGATGCGGAGCATCTTTTCAAATGCTTATCGACCATTTGTATGTCTTCTTCAGAGAAATGTGTTCAAACCCTTTGCCCATTTTTGAATAGGACTGTTTGTTTTTTGTTGTTGAGCTGAAGGAGTTCTTTATTGTTTCAATTTACTTTTTACTTTCAAAAGGTGTGTGGAGTGTGACCTTGGGGCTCCCAGGCTGGGTAACCACATCGCTTGCCTCATCAACATCATTTCTGAAACCCAAAGACCAGAATGCTAAGGTTTGAAAAACATAAATATCAGCTCCTCAGTTTTTCAGTGACAAAAAAACAGAGACAAGTTTTGCTGTCTTCCACATATTTTTCCTAATTTTTATTTTTAGAATTTTTAAAGGAAATTGCTTTTGTGTTTTTCTCAAGTTTTAATGTGGTCAGTCTTTTGTTTTCATAGGATGCTTGGGGTGGGGTTTCTTTCTTTTTTTTTTTAATCCTCACCCGAGGGCGTTTTTCCATTTTTGTTCAGGTAGAGTGGGAGGGAGATAAAGGAAGAGAGAGAGAGAGAAACATCTACATGAAAGGGACACATCGATTGGGTACCTCCCCCATAACCCCAACAGGGGCTGGGACAAACTGCAACCGAGGTATGTGCCCTTAGCGGGAACCGAACCCAGGTCTCTCTGGACCGCAGGCCGATGCTCTAAGTGCTGAGCCAAACTGGCCAGGGCAAGAGGTGGGGTTTCTTATTGAAATTCTTTTCCTTGACAATCACTCAAATACCTTTCTTCCCTTTTTCTTAAATGACCTTTCTTTTTACCTGTGTGGAAAGCGCTCTTCTCCTGCTCCCATTCGTGGCCAGGAGAGGGCACCTGAGAGCAATCCGGCAGCCCTTGTGGTTGGCTTGAAACCTGACATTTCAGCTGTACCGCTCAGACCCAGATTCCTGAGGTGTGGGGTTAATGGCAGCTCCAATCTGGCTTTTGAATTAAGGTTAGTTGAAGGTGTTGGTAAAAGATCTGAGCCGGTGGGAGATCACATCCACAGAGCAAGGCCAATGTAGAGCGAAATGATTTTATTACATGCACCTGGGTGCAGGCTTGCTGAACCTGAAAAGGGGTCAGCCTCGAATAACAGTTGGGGTGTAGGTTATGTACTCTACTTTTAGCTTCCGGCAGTTCCTGCTGACGTACTCTGCCTGGCCCACTGTCCACTTTGCAGTTGGACTAGTCTGGTATCACATCCTGCATCTGCTGGGTGATTCATTGTCTCGCAGATAATCCGATAATCTGTAGTCAACAGAAGGCTGAGCAGAGGTCATGCAAGCAATGCATTTTTCCTAGTTTCCGCCTTTTGCAAGCTTTTGCCTTTACCCTTTAAAATGTTATTAACCCTTTTGGTTGGATGAGGAGAGGTGGTACGGAAGGGATCCGTGAACTCCAAGGAGGCTGAAGAAGAAAAGTAACCAAAATGCCTTAGGTCTCCAGATTTCTCTTTTCTTACTAAAAAATCAGAAAACCACTATGTCTGGGACAAATAAAACTATCCTTGTTATTTTGCTTACTTCCGGCTATTGTACAGCTAATAATGGCAATTTATATGTTAACTTGGATTTTTCCTGCCATTTTAATATTTTTTCTGTATATTAAATATATCTCAAAGTACAGGGGCACTGGAGTTCTGTGACAGCTGAACTTGCTTCAATAATAGCACCTAGCTTAGAAACTAAGATTATGTATATTGCATATTTTATATAATAATATATAATAGATATATTATTACATATAATATGTAATAATATAATACATCTTTGTTATATATATTTATATTCCTTTTCTGTTCCCTCTGGAAAATGATTAAGGTACATATATGGCAATAATTTCAGAACCTTTAGTTACTTTTTTCCTTTTGCATGATCACTTCCACTTTTAAGTCCTGGTGAGCCGTTTTCATGACCTGGGAGTCATTTTCGAGTTCTGTGAATGGACATGTGCACTCATGCCAAGACCTGCAAGGGTCAGCGGCTTAGCTGAGCAGCAGGTGTTACTCCCGGTAGTGTTCTGGAAGCCCAGGCCACAGCAGCTCAGCATCTCCACATTTCGGTCACCAGATACTGAGCGCATGGGAGAAGACAGCATGCCTCTTTAGCATGAAGCCTGTGAAGTCCCCCAGCTGTTCCGGGGACTTCCCGGGTCAGGAGATGCCATCTGTGTGACTTCTGACCCTTGCTTGTCCACTCCAGGTTGAAGTCTCCCACAGTGAGCCTCAGGGCCCTTTCTCCTCATCGTGGGCTCCCTGGGCCGGAACCTCAGCCTCATGTGGGGGCTTGTTAGAAATGCACAAATTCAGGGCACACTCACTGAAGCAGACTCTGCATTTTAATCCTGTGATCTGAGAATCGCTACCCCAGACTATTGGTCTAGACCCTATTTTTGGTACTGGGGGTTCTTAACCTGCCTTCACAGAATTTAGGGGGCTGGTGAACTTGGGTGGGGAAAACAATACCTCTTGATTTTCCCTAACCAAAAATTAGCATTTATTTTCATTTGAATGTAAGCAAAAACACAGTAGTATTAGCTGTACTTGTGACCTAACAATAGAAGTTGGGATATTTTCATATCACCTTACAGTTTTTATAGAAAAATAATTTGTGTACTGCTTAGTATTTGGGTAGTTATTAGGTCCTCCATGAGTTCTTATTGTTTAATATGTTCATAAAAAAAGTATTTACTTATTTACTTTGTTAATCCTCACCTGAGGATATTATTCCATTGATTTTATTAGATAGAATGGAAGGGGATGGGGGGGAG